GCCCGAAAGTTGACACACATTGGCCATTTTTGGCCCATTGTGATGCCGTATGGGATCTGGTGTAGATTTCTTCTACACTCGTGTATTAAAAACCTCAAAAAATCGGAGATTTGACCAGCCAGTTGCGTAATGTGGTAAATGTGCTCCAACAACTGCTTTCCAATTTGTACTAGCCAGACGGAAAAGATAATAGTCTAAAGAATACTACATACGATGGATCCAACATTTTACACTCTATGTTTGTAAAGCGGGTCACAGTGGCAGTTATTGCTACTTTCACAAGCAGGAGAAGCAAAAATGTAACCAACTTCGACACCAGACAGCTTGTAACGCACAACAGCAATTAACTTAAACGACTATTAATAAAAAACAATTTTCATTAAAAATATGTATTCCGATTTCATTGAGTGTTATTATGAAATTTACATTTAATTTCAATTTCGATAAAAACTCAATCAGCCTAATGACTTTCTGAATTCACAAGGCATATAAGTGTAAAACGTGTGCCAGTGTCCGAGATTCCACTCGTGAACAGTAGTAAGAGCGTGAATATCACCAACATCGTCTGAAAATTGTCAATATAATTTATACTATGCACCCAAATGACGGAAGAATATTTATAGTACAAATAATAGTTGCCTAATGGATTGATAGATAAATACATAGAATCATTAGATACTAATTTATAAAACGGTTGACTGCCTCAAACAAATCATTATTTAAATACTTTAACTGAAATAATTGCATTGATAATATCTGGCAATAGTTGAATTTTATACTGATCAGACTGCTAAGGAATTAGAGTCCAGAAACAATGCCTAAATGCTTTATACGCTGCTTTGCTAATTCGAAAGTAAATTTCCACAATACGTTGCTACAACGAGATGTAAATCGAAATAAATCGATATTTATGAAACAGAAGCAGTTATCGGAAAAATACAGCAAGCTTAATCTGCGCCGGGTATACGAAAATCTACAATCCAAATTATAAGTCTCTAGCTCTTATAGTCTCTCAGACGAACACCATTGATCCTAATCCAGAATATATACTAAATGGGGTCGGAATGCTTTCTTCTGCTTGTTACATACATTTCCACAGAACCATTATACTCTTTTTACCCATTTTTAATGGGTTCAGGATATAATAATTCATTGAACTATTCTATAGCTGAGGTCAGAGACATCGGGGATGCGTATTTAAGTAATTGACCTGAACTCAACTTGTACCTAGAAACCGTAGCTCTTCGTGTGATTCAGTTGCAGTCCGTTCAAGTTTTTTGTACCATTTCTCAGTTTGTGTGGCAAGCAGTTGTGCCACAAGTTGCCCAAGCTCTGAAACAAAACAAAAGTTTTAGCTTAGGTTTATGCATTTGAAATCATGAACAAAGTTTTCGTTTTGAAAGGCAGTTGGGCATGGGTGTGGCATTTGCCGTTGATTAAGGATTCATTTATTTGCATTTCAAATTTTGTATTATACACAAAAATTGTCAGCCAACAAAATAACATAAATTATGCAGCATATTTTTCAACACAGTCGACCAGAATTTGTAGGGGTTTTTGAGCAAGCAGGAAAATAATTTTTGAGTAATTAGTCGCGTGAATTTTGACATGACATAATTTACCGCCCAGCCTGTCATTTGCATAAATTTTAAAATAAACGAGAACAGGAAAAAGGACCTGCGGCAACAGAAATAAATTGGCATTGAGCTAATTATAAATGAGATTGAGCGACAAAAACTTTGCCGACAGCCAAGCAAAAATAATGACTGAGATATAAAAACAAGCTTAGGCACAACACCTTTGGCAAATCGCTTCAGAGCGCCTCTGTATTAGTGAAAATATCTGAAACTCAATCAAAAACTTTGTCTAAGCTCTAGCAAAATTGCTGCCAACTGCTGTGTAACAGCAAAGAAGTTTGTGCGTGTCGTGTGTGTTGGATAACCAGGCAACTTAGTTGCCATTATTAACAAGTTTTCGTTATGCAAATGACGTTGAATATCAACACGAAAACATCCCCACAAAATGAATAAATACCCCACAGTTCAAAACTTTAAATTTGGCAGAAAGAGCTGTCATATCCTTACATTAAATAAAAAGAGATTCAATCCGAATTTATACACCATTTTAATATAAATTTTAACCAGAAAAAGGGGTTTCTAAATTAAGCTGACGAAGTTATGGAAGTCGAATATTTGGAACTGTCCTAAATTTCGACCATGAAGCTTGTTTCCATTTTTAAATGTAGTAGTTATCTAGAGCTCAAATCATTATCAAATCGGTCTGCTAAAAATTGATTAAGGTTTGGCAAATTGATGTCTTTGGAAAGTTTCGAGCTGTACTTACAAGCACTTTTAGAGGGTATCATTTTAACATTATTTTCGAGATTCCTGTATTTGTGTATTATTATTTCTACCCTAATCTTAAAGTTCATATGGAAAATGTTTCACCTATGTATAGGATAGTCATTGCTTTCAGCTATAGGAGCAATTTAAAAAATATATATTTACGCAAACGTTCAAAATGATTTTCATTTCCTTAGTGTGGAGTTGGTTTTACTCTTACCATGGCTATATATCTTGCCTGACTGTTCTTATTTTCAGTGAAAATGCAAAACTAAATGAAATAAATGAATGTTTAAGTGACTACAAACAGTTAAAGTTACCTCATAGGGGCACGACTAATTCAAATTCGATCATATCTAAGCATCGATTTGAATCGATCATTTTTTGTCGGATTTAGCCATAAACATACAATAATCGAAGATCGTGTTGGACATAAACGGACGATATTCCTTATATTTGCGCCAGAGACTAAGGTTTACCTTTACAAAATACAACTTGATAATTTAATCTGGAATTTTTATTACGAGTACATACCTTAACATTGTTGACGGGTCTTTTATTTAATTCCGCAAATATATTCATGGCCAGGATACCACCTCTCAATTCTTTAAGATCACATTCCTTGTAGGTAGCATACGAAGTATCAAGCATTTCGCACTCTATTTTTGTAAAGCGTGTATCCGAGAGTCCTCTCGTGGACAGTAATAAGAGCGCGAATATAACCAACATCGTCTGACAATTGAAGAAATAATGTATACTATGCGCCCAAATGACGGAAGAGTATTTATAGTAATAATAATAATAGTTGCCTAATGGATTGATAGATAAATACATAGAAGTATTAGATACATCATTAGATACTAATTTATAAAACGGTTGACTGCCTAAAAAAATGAATATTGAAATATTTTAACTGAAATAATTGCATTGATAATATCTGTCAAAAGTTGAATTTTATACTGATCAGACTGCTAAGGGATTAGAGTCCAGAATTTTTCTTTGAATACAAATTTTCCTCACAATGCCTAACGAAAATTTCCACAATGCGTTGCTACAACGAGATACATAATCAAATTTGATTGTTTGATTGTTGAGAAATGCAGGCAAGGATTAATTGAAGTACAGTAAATCATTTTGAGATATGTACCTTTCGTGAAAATGAATTAAAAGGCACGTAATTTCTTTCCATTGCCAAGCTTAAAATCAAATTTAATTTGTTTTATTTATCATTACATAGTTAATTACAATAATACCTTAGCCTTCAAAGAAAGTTGGTTAATGTTAAAGTTATTGGTGCATTTCCAAGCCGTTTCCTTAAATTGTGTGCTTTTATGGAGATTCGAGGAGTGAAGGTCATTTAACTTTCAATCAAATTTGTTATTGAAATATTGTAAAGAATTAAAGGGAAATAGCTGTTTTTTCTTTAGTCCAAGATCCACTGTAAATATACATTTATATGTGTTACCCATAAATTGTCTATGCCCGACAAAATTTGAATTTTATAATCACCGGTCGGCAGCGGTACAAATTGGAAATTTTTTGTAGTAGCTATCAAATCTTTCACAATTATATCATGCTGAAATATATTATGCCATATAAGTATACATATATAAATATAATTATGCTAATCTTTACTCACCTCAAAAGGACACGAGTGATTTAAGTTCGAATATCTGGCTAAAATATCATTGATGATCCTTGTAAAAGACAACTTATTATTGCCCATGGCCATAAACTTGCAATAATCATAAGTGTGGTTGAACATAAAAGGACGATATCCATTAAATTTCCGATGCAGACTGAGATTTACCTATAATTCCAATTATACATATAAAAACAAATAAATATATTTTACGAATAACTTTAAATACCTTACTACTATTGAAGCTTCCTTTTAAGAGTTTCGCATGCACATTTAAGGCCACAAGGTTACGAGCTATTAATTTTAAATAGCAATGCTTAAAAGCTACATAGGCCGGCTCCAACACTTCGCACTCTATATTCGAATAACGTGTCTGCAATCCTGATAGGCATCCGTTGACCAGAAGGAAGAGCGTAAAAAGAACCCACATTGTCAGTCAACTACCGATTGTGTAACTAACCATTAACTAAGCAGAGACACTGTTAAATTTAAAAAATGTGTGGCCGATGTTTAAACCTAGTTATTATTATGCAACCAATTAATCTACTCAGTGAGTCGCGAAAGGTCCATATTAATAGGTGAGCTGAAAGCTAACGGACAATGGTTGCAATAACTAGTAAAAATGCTGTAGTCGAGTGAGCTCGACTACGATACACCCTGAATCCAGGGAAGGTATCATTTTAACTGCCTTTATTTGTGCATTTTTGTTTTCTCATCTTAAAGTGCCTATCCAAAATGTAATACCTTTGTATAGGACACTCATCGTTTTCAGTGATAGGGGCAATTTAATCAATATATATTTACGCAAACGTTCAACATGATTTTCCTTTCCTTAGTGTGGAGTTGGTTTTACTCTTACCATGGCTATATATCTTGCCTGACTGCTCCTATTTTCAGTGAAAATGCAAAACTAAATGAAATAAATGAATGTTTAAGTGACTACAAACAGTTAAAGTTACCTCATAGGGGCACGACTAATTCAAATTCGATCATATCTAAGCATCGATTTGAATCGATCATTTTTTGTCGGATTTAGCCATAAACATACAATAATCGAAGATCGTGTTGGACATAAACGGACGATATTCCTTATATTTGCGCCAGAGACTAAGGTTTACCTTTACAAAATACAACTTGATAATTTAATCTGGAATTTTTATTACGAGTACATACCTTAACATTGTTGACGGGTCTTTTATTTAATTCCGCAAATATATTCATGGCCAGGATACCACCTCTCAATTCTTTAAGATCACATTCCTTGTAGGTAGCATACGAAGTATCAAGCATTTCGCACTCTATTTTTGTAAAGCGTGTATCCGAGAGTCCTCTCGTGGACAGTAATAAGAGCGCGAATATAACCAACATCGTCTGAAAATTGTTAAAATAATTTATACTTTGCGCCCAAATGACGGAAGAATATTTATAGTACAAATAATAGTTGCCTAATGGATTGATAGATAAATACATAGAAGTATTAGATACATCATTAGATACTAATTTATAAAACGGTTGACTGCCTCAAAAAATTTTTTATTGAAATATTTTAACTGAAATAATTGCATTGATAATATCTGTCAAAAGTTGGATTTTATACTGACCAGACTGCTAAAGGATCAGAGTCCAGAATTTTTCTTTGAATACAAATTTTCCTCACAATGCCTAACGAAAATTTCCACAATGCGTTGCTACAACGAGATACATAATCAAATTTGATTGTTTGATTGTTGAGAAATGCAGGCAAGGATTAATTGAAGTACAGTAAATCATTTTGAGATATGTACCTTTCGTGAAAATGAATTAAAAGGCACGTAATTTCTTTCCATTGCCAAGCTTAAAATCAAATTTAATTTGTTTTATTTATCATTACATAGTTAATTACAATAATACCTTAGCCTTCAAAGAAAGTTGGTTAATGTTAAAGTTATTGGTGCATTTCCAAGCCGTTTCCTTAAATTGTGTGCTTTTATGGAGATTCGAGGAGTGAAGGTCATTTAACTTTCAATCAAATTTGTTATTGAAATATTGTAAAGAATTAAAGGGAAATAGCTGTTTTTTCTTTAGTCCAAGATCCACTGTAAATATACATTTATATGTGTTACCCATAAATTGTCTATGCCCGACAAAATTTGAATTTTATAATCACCGGTCGGCAGCGGTAAAAATTGGAAATTTTTTGTTGTAGCTATCAAATCTTTCACAATTATATCATGCTGAAATATATTATGCCATATAAGTATACATATATAAATATAATTATGCTAATCTTTACTCACCTCAAAAGGACACGAGTGATTTAAGTTCGAATATCTGGCTAAAATATCATTGATGATCCTTGTAAAAGACAACTTATTATTGCCCATGGCCATAAACTTGCAATAATCATAAGTGTGGTTGAACATAAAAGGACGATATCCATTAAATTTCCGATGCAGACTGAGATTTACCTATAATTCCAATTATACATATAAAAACAAATAAATATATTTTACGAATAACTTTAAATACCTTACTACTATTGAAGCTTCCTTTTAAGAGTTTCGCATGCACATTTAAGGCCACAAGGTTACGAGCTATTAATTTTAAATAGCAATGCTTAAAAGCTACATAGGCCGGCTCCAACACTTCGCACTCTATATTCGAATAACGTGTCTGCAATCCTGATAGGCATCCGTTGACCAGAAGGAAGAGCGTAAAAAGAACCCACATTGTCAGTCAACTACCGATTGTGTAACTAACCATTAACTAAGCAGAGACACTGTTAAATTTAAAAAATGTGTGGCCGATGTTTAAACCTAGTTATTATTATGCAACCAATTAATCTACTCAGTGAGTCGCGAAAGGTCCATATTAATAGGTGAGCTGAAAGCTAACGGACAATGGTTGCAATAACTAGTAAAAATGCTGTAGTCGAGTGAGCTCGACTACGATACACCCTGAATCCAGGGAAGGTATCATTTTAACTGCCTTTATTTGTGCATTTTTGTTTTCTCATCTTAAAGTGCCTATCCAAAATGTAATACCTTTGTATAGGACACTCATCGTTTTCAGTGATAGGAGCAATTTAAAAAATATATATTTACGCAAACGTTCAAAATGATTTTCATTTCCTTAGTGTGGAGTTGGTTTTACTCTTACCATGGCTATATATCTTGCCTGACTGTTCTTATTTTCAGTGAAAATGCAAAACTAAATGAAATAAATGAATGTTTAAGTGACTACAAACAGTTAAAGTTACCTCATAGGGGCACGACTAATTCAAATTCGATCATATCTAAGCATCGATTTGAATCGATCATTTTTTGTCGGATTTAGCCATAAACATACAATAATCGAAGATCGTGTTGGACATAAACGGACGATATTCCTTATATTTGCGCCAGAGACTAAGGTTTACCTTTACAAAATACAACTTGATAATTTAATCTGGAATTTTTATTACGAGTACATACCTTAACATTGTTGACGGGTCTTTTATTTAATTCCGCAAATATATTCATGGCCAGGATACCACCTCTCAATTCTTTAAGATCACATTCCTTGTAGGTAGCATACGAAGTATCAAGCATTTCGCACTCTATTTTTGTAAAGCGTGTATCCGAGAGTCCTCTCGTGGACAGTAATAAGAGCGCGAATATAACCAACATCGTCTGAAAATTGTTAAAATAATTTATACTTTGCGCCCAAATGACGGAAGAATATTTATAGTACAAATAATAGTTGCCTAATGGATTGATAGATAAATACATAGAAGTATTAGATACATCATTAGATACTAATTTATAAAACGGTTGACTGCCTAAAAAATTTTTTATTGAAATATTTTAACTGAAATAATTGCATTGATAATATCTGTCAAAAGTTGGATTTTATACTGACCAGACTGCTAAAGGATCAGAGTCCAGAATTTTTCTTTGAATACAAATTTTCCTCACAATGCCTAACGAAAATTTCCACAATGCGTTGCTACAACGAGATACATAATCAAATTTGATTGTTTGATTGTTGAGAAATGCAGGCAAGGATTAATTGAAGTACAGTAAATCATTTTGAGATATGTACCTTTCGTGAAAATGAATTAAAAGGCACGTAATTTCTTTCCATTGCCAAGCTTAAAATCAAATTTAATTTGTTTTATTTATCATTACATAGTTAATTACAATAATACCTTAGCCTTCAAAGAAAGTTGGTTAATGTTAAAGTTATTGGTGCATTTCCAAGCCGTTTCCTTAAATTGTGTGCTTTTATGGAGATTCGAGGAGTGAAGGTCATTTAACTTTCAATCAAATTTGTTATTGAAATATTGTAAAGAATTAAAGGAGAATAGCTGTTTTTTCTTTAGTCCAAGATCCACTGTAAATATACTTTTACATTTGTTACCCATTCATTGTCTATGGCCGCCAAAATTTGAATTTTATAATCACCGGTCGGCAGCGGTACAAATTGGAAATTTTTTGTAGTAGCTATCAAATCTTTCACAATTATATCATGCTGAAATATATTATGCCATATAAGTATACATATATAAATATAATTATGCTAATCTTTACTCACCTCAAAAGGACACGAGTGATTTAAGTTCGAATATCTGGCTAAAATATCAGTGATGATCCATGTAAAGGTCAATTTGTTTTTGCCCTTGGCCACAAGCTTGCAATAATCATAAGTGTGGTTGAACATAAAAGGACGATATCCATTAAATTTCCGATGCAGACTGAGATTTACCTATAATTCCAATTATACATATAAAAACAAATAAATATATTTTACGAATAACTTTAAATACCTTACTACTATTGAAGCTTCCTTTTAAGAGTTTCGCATGCACATTTAAGGCCACAAGGTTACGAGCTATTAATTTTAAATAGCAATGCTTAAAAGCTACATAGGCCGGCTCCAACACTTCGCACTCTATATTCGAATAACGTGTCTGCAATCCTGATAGGCATCCGTTGACCAGAAGGAAGAGCGTAAAAAGAACCCACATTGTCAGTCAACTACCGATTGTGTAACTAACCATTAACTAAGCAGAGACACTGTTAAATTTAAAAAATGTGTGGCCGATATTAAAACCTAATTATTATTATGCAACCAAGTAATCTACTCAGTGAGTCGCGAAAGGTCCATATTAATAGGTGAGCTGAGAGCTAACGGACAATGGTTGCAATAACTAGTAAAAATGCTGTAGTCGAGTGAGCTCGACTACGATACACCCTGAATCCAGGGAAGGTATCATTTTAACTGCCTTTATTTGTGCATTTTTGTTTTCTCATCTTAAAGTGCCTATCCAAAATGTAATACCTTTGTATAGGACACTCATCGTTTTCAGTGATAGGGGCAATTTAATCAATATATATTTACGCAAAAGTACAAAATGTTTGTCCTTTCCTTGGCATGGAATTGGTTTTACTCTTACCATGGCTATATATCTTGCCTGACTGCTCTTATTTTCAGTGAAAATGCAAAACTAAATGAAATAAATGAATGTTTAAGTGACTACAAACAGTTAAAGTTACCTCATAGGGGCACGACTAATTCAAATTCGATCATATCTAAGCATCGATTTGAATCGATCATTTTTTGTCGGATTTAGCCATAAACATACAATAATCGAAGATCGTGTTGGACATAAACGGACGATATTCCTTATATTTGCGCCAGAGACTAAGGTTTACCTTTACAAAATACAACTTGATAATTTAATCTGGAATTTTTATTACGAGTACATACCTTAACATTGTTGACGGGTCTTTTATTTAATTCCGCAAATATATTCATGGCCAGGATACCACCTCTCAATTCTTTAAGATCACATTCCTTGTAGGTAGCATACGAAGTATCAAGCATTTCGCACTCTATTTTTGTAAAGCGTGTATCCGAGAGTCCTCTCGTGGACAGTAATAAGAGCGCGAATATAACCAACATCGTCTGAAAATTGACACAAGTGGGATGAGTACTTATACCTACAAATAATAACAAATTAATTGACAGAGTAATTATTTGAAAACTATAAAAATCAGATAACTATTTTAATAACTTTATAACCGGCGGGTTGCTCAATTTTTTGTGGACTTCTGAACTTTTTACTATAAACATCACATCTTAATGCTTAACTTGAACATATCCTCAATAAGGTAACAAACCAACCCATCAGAAACAGACAGTATATCCAACGTTACTGCTAAGCTGACATACCCCACACTAGCAATCGCTTGCGAGGTATTTTAATGGCAGCTGAGATGTGAATAAAATAAAATCAAATATGCACTGATGTGTAAATTAATGCGCGACTCTATTCAAATTGCATTAAAGTATTAAATGGTATAAATATGAGTATGAGTAGGCGCGTACTTATTTAAATATATTTTGCTTGTGTAATTGAAGAGAAATAGCAAGTGTAAAAGTAGAAAATTTCAAGAGACGCTTTTAGTCACTTTTTGAAAGTTGTTGAAAAGTTGTATAGAGCTTATCATTACTGCAGCCAATGCCAGTCCTGAATGAAGAATAAAACAAATGATTATTATTTTATGTGAACAATTGAATAGGTTAACAGATTTAAATGTTCATAAAGTTGTTAAATGGGACTTAGGATATTTTTTATATTAAAGCCAACATTAGTAAGCCAATTGGTTGCAGCTTAAGCTATTTCGCCTATATGAAAAAAATGTCCAATAAATTATTAACAAATATTTAGATTTATTAACTAAATCGTGCCCATAATGAAGCTATAAAAGCTTGCACGATAAATCAGTTATATAAAACAATAGACAAGTGCTAAAATAACACTTTCATGAACAATTACTTTTAAATTACAATTTGAATTGGAGCAATAAACATAAGAGTATAACAGAAGTTAAAACCATTAAACAAAATGTTAGAATATCAGTAACAATCAAAACATTAAATGACCTTAAATTGCTCAATTAAAGCTGTACAACTATTAAGCCAAAATAATATTAGCAAATGTGAGGCACTTTATATAAACATTTTTCCATTAGCCGCAATTCGAAACAATTCGAATTATCCTCGATGCTAGAGATAAGCCACGGTTCAGCAGAGCTGAAAGCAATCACCAAACAGATGACCTCACAATGTTGCTGCATGTGGTTCTAACTCAGCTGCTGCTGTTGCTGCTGGTGCTTCTGCTGGTCGGTGACTTGAGCGACGCGTTAACTGTGAATGAGGCACTGCAACGTAGCTACCAGGAGCAGCATTACGATACGGTATTGTTGATGAGACACAACAGACAGCAGCAGTGCAGCCAAATGGAGGAAGTGGCAGCTGACACAATTTGGCCAGTAATACGCCTTAGCAACCAGGCGAACTTTTATCTAAAGCGTAGCCAAAGCACTGAAATGCTTGCGATAACTTGCTTGACTGGCAATTCGGAGATGGACATGGAAATATGGCAGGCATTGGCAAAAAATCTGTATAACATGCGTCATGTGCGACTGCTGCTTTTACTGCAGGAGGCAACTGCCGTCAGGACAGATCCTTTGGACCAGCTGCTTAAGTCATTGGCAAACATCACGTTTCATCTACACTTTCCTCATGTGGTGCTACTGCTACCCGAGGGAAACGCCTACCAACTGCACCCTTATGAGGAGCAGCTCTGGCTGGAACTCCAGCTGAATAGCAGCGCACCGATCTTCGCTAGACAATACAACTTCCATCGCTATCTGGCTAAAGTGCTGCCCGATCAGACGCCACCTGGTTCGTTGGCTTATAAGGATCGACGAACGGGTAAGCTGCGAATAACGGGCTATCTGGCCAAAACGATACTGGCATTTGCATGGGCACACAACATCACGCTGCAGTGGGCACGTCCGTTGGTCATTGGGGATCAGCTATCTCTAATAGTTCTACGCAATCTGACACTCAATGGAACTATAAACTTCGCCATGTCACTGTGCGGCTTTGAGCTGCCCAATGAATCTGGTTACTACACGTATCCCATCGAACTGCCCGCGTGGTTTGTAGTATTGCCCTGTGCACGTGAGATAGCCACTGCTGAAGTTTACCTAAGGATCTCCAATATCAACATTGGGTTAGTACTTTTGGGAACCTACTGTATCTTTGTGCTATTGGACACATGCTTTGGATGGTTGCTGATGAAGGAGAAAGTGGATTGGACGAATTTTGTACTCAATGAGCGCATTTTTTCTGGCATTATTGGACAGTCGTTCAAGTTAAACGCCCACTCCACGAACAGTGCCCGATTGGCTCAAGCCCAACTGTTTCTATTTGGATTGATTGTGAGCACTCTGTTTTCAGCACATTTAAAGACGCTGTTGACCAAGCGACCCAGGGATCATTTGATCAGTAACCTCATGGAGTTGCGTGACTCTAAACTCAATATTTATTTCTCTGAAGGTGAAGATTTCTATTTAAGAAATGTATCACATAATCATCCGATTAATACCATTAAATCAAAGATCAAATATCTCGAGGTCAAGGAATTTCAGAAACAGCGAAAGAGTTTCAACAAATCGAACGCATTTTCCATGACTACATCAATATGGTTGTTTATCAAATCGCAACAGGAGGTTTTCCAACAGCCTGCTCTTTGCTTTCAGCCTGGCCTAGTCTTTCGCAAACCACTCATCATATCCCTGGCACTGCAGGCAAACTCAATTTTTGCAGAGCCAATGAATACATTTATTCATCGTATGCACGATGCGGGACTGGCGATGCAGTGGAAGCAGCAATCCTTGAGAGATTTCATCGCTTTGGGCGAAACTAGTCTCAACGATCCATATCTGTATGTGCCCTTTCATGACTTCAAGGTGGTCGATTTGTTTTGGGTATGGTTGAACTTGGCTTTTGGCTTGTCATTGGGATTTGTAACCTTTTTGCTTGAGCTAATTTTCAATCACTTGACAAAAAAAGAGCTCAACTAAATAACTCAGAAGATTGATATTGAAATTAAAATTTTGAATTAAATTTCATAAGTAATATTACCTTAATATGTTAAATCAATATGTCATTTTATTGTAAACAATATAAATAAAACCATAATTCTTTAGTTTGCCCGCTTAATTAATTTTAAATTATTATTTTTACGATCTCTATTGAGATTAATTTGGTTGCAAAAATCGTATGCGAATTAATTACGTTTTACAGCACTGCTTGTAAACATTACTTTCTTCGGAAACTATGCTTCAGCATATATTCCGCAACTATTGGCCATCGTTGACATAAATCAAATATTTTTCTAGCGGATTCGTTTCAAAGTGTCAGCTAATGCCGTTACGAGTGATGGTGTAAGATTTAAAATCTGTCAGACCGTTTTATTGGCTTAGTATTTGTTTCTTTTTAGAGCCAGGCTCACTCAATCATCGTTAGACCAAAACCAGACGGCCAGACACACAGCGAGCTACCAATGAAAACAAATATTTGTGTCTGTCGGTCTGTCCGTCTGTATGAACGCAATGATTTTCGACAACCTTAAAGACGGGCATTTGAAACTTGGAGCATATACTGGTATGTGCCCGGGCAAAGTGTAAAAATTGGAGTGCTACGTCCACTAGGGGGCTAGGAAATCAAATTTGGTTGGTAGGTTGTTGGCGATGTTCTTCAAAGATCGGCATATACCACGCCCACCTCCGCCACTCACCTCGGCCTTTAAAAACCGATAACAAAATGGTATGGCCACTCCCACACCTACGCCCATAATCGCCAAAGCCTGTCTGTAACGTTCTCTCTTGTATTTTAAAATGTTGATGCGAACAGACGAGACGAAAGTTGGTTTTATTTGCTGGTTATTGCATCGCTTTATGGCATCGGCCTTAGAGATAAGTTGCCACATGGCCGCATAAGCAGCTGTAGAACTGATGCCATTGATGGGCCATTTATGGCAAATCGATGATCCAATTGGCACTTTAAGCGCATTTTGTTCTGCTTCTGGCCCGGAGGGAAATTCAACATTATTTGCCATGCAATAGAGCTCAGCATCGTCAGAACACATACAAAGCTGTTTCGAATTAAACATGACCAACATTAACTGAGTCGAGCCCAAAGGATATTATACGGGTCTATGCTTTCTATTTATCGATTAATCAACTATTTATTAAATCTTCTGTAGGCTTGACATTTATATGGACATCAAGCTTCCATTTGTAATGGGTAGATGTGATACTTTGGAACTTATGGCAAGACGGCATAGGCAAATAGAAGCAAATTCAAATAATAAGCAAAGAAATAAAATAAAAAGAATATTACAAATTTAGAGATATTTATCGGTCCAATAGGGGCAGACCTATCATCCCACCGAGCACCGATGAATATAGTTTCGAAGTTGCATGTTGCGTTCACATAAGCGGACAAAACGACAGACGAACGGACAGCATGAGATCAGAGTATAATAATTATAGTAAGCAAAGTAAGATCATACAACAATTTGAATAACCTTCTTACACCTGTTGTCAGCACAATAATTCACCGAATCGAGAAGATATAATTCAAGTCTACGAACTTTTAATAGACATTTTATTTATTTTTTTAAGTCTCCAACAAATCCATGAATATTTATATTTACTTTCCACTGGTTGTTGGTAGCTGCCATAATCTGAATTTTATACTGACCGGACGGAATGGGTGCCAATTTGAAAAACTCTTCTTTAAGCACCAAGTCTCGCACAATTATGGAGTGCTGAAAAATCAAATTTTTAATAGTTTTCTACAATTTTGTAACATTCAACGTACCTCATAGGGGCACGAGTGATTCAAATTCGATGACTCGGAAATTGCGTTCAAGATTAATCTTATGTACGACAATTTCTCTTTGGACTTGTCCATAAACTTACAAAAATCAAAGGTCGTGTTGAACAGAAAAGGTCGGTATCCATTAAATTTGCGCCAAACACAAACGTTTACCTATAATTTATGAAACTGCAGCTTTTCAGAGAGTGTCTATAAGAATATTTACATACCTTAGCAGTTTTGAAGGGTCCTTGATTCAACGTCGCATATACATTCAATCCCACAATGCCGCGTCCCAGAATTTTTAGTTTACATTCCTTGAAGGTAGCATACAATGGATCCAACATCTCACACTCTACGTTTGTAAATCGGGTTTTAGTGCTTTTTGCTACCACCAGCAGGAGAAGAAAAAACTTAACCGACAGCCACATCATAAAGCTCTCAATGCACACCAGCGATTAACTTTTGCAAGCATTTACAAAAACAGCTTAATTTGAAAATAAATATTCCGATTTAGATTAGTGTTATAATGACATTTATATACAACGCATTTGATGCTTGAACTATTTGGTTATAAAATGTAGTCCCAATGAATGGTCTACTGATTGGCCGACTTCACAAGCCGTTTAAATGTAATTAAAAACTTATCTACCACAAGCTGAATGAATTAAGGTGAATTTAAATTTACAACATATTAATAATATAGAGCTTCCACCTAAATAATCGTGAAAAAATGAGCTTACGTAAGGAGCCTCGTGCCATCAACATACAAGAAGGTTTAATATATATTAGATTTAGATTGAAATATCTTTAAAAGAAATATGAATATTGATACTTGTTATCCAATGGTTGTTGGTGGCCGCCATAATCCGGAATTTGTATTGACCGGAAGGAAAGGGTAAAATGTTTAAAAGCTCTTCCTTTAACACCAAATCTCGCACAATTATATCATGCTGAAAAAATATAAATTTGTAATAACATTCTAAAATGTTTCAACACTTAACCTACCTCATATGGGCAAGAGTGATTCAAATTCGATTTATCGGCTAACATATCTAAGCATATTTTTTGAATCGATGATTTTTTGTCGGATTTAGCCATAAACATACAATAATCGAAGGTCGTGTTGAACATGAACGGACGATATTCCTTATATTTGCGCCAGAGACTAAGGTTTACCTTTACAAAATACAACTTGATAATTTAATCTGGAATTTTTATTACGAGTACATACCTTAACATTGTTGACGGGTCTTTTATTTAATTCCGCAAATATATTCATGGCCAGGATACCACCTCTCAATTCTTTAAGATCACATTCCTTGTAGGTAGCATACGAAGTATCAAGCATTTCGCACTCTATTTTTGTAAAGCGTGTATCCGAGAGTCCTCTCGTGGACAGTAATAAGAGCGCGAATATAACCAACATCGTCTGACAATTGAAGAAATAATGTATACTATGCGCCCAAATGACGGAAGAGTATTTATAGAATTAATAATAATAATTACTTAATGGATTGATAGATAAATATATAGAATCATTAGATACATCATTAGATACTAAGTTATAAATCGGTTGACTGCCTCAAAAAATTTTTTATTGAAATATTTTAACTGAAATAATTGCATTGATAATATCTGTCGAAAGTTGGATTTTATACTCACCAGACTGCTAAGGGAATTTTTCATTGAATACAAATTTTCCTCACAATGCCTAACGAAAATTTCCACAATGCGTTGCTACAACGAGGTACATAATCAAATTTGATTGTTTGATTGTTGAGAAATGCAGGCAAGGATTAATTGAAGTACAGTAAATCATTTTGAGATATGTACCTTTCGTGAAAATGAATTAAAAGGCACGTAATTTCTTTCCATTGCCAAGCTTAAAATCAAATTTAATTTGTTTTATTTATCATTACATAGTTAATTACAATAATACCTTAGCCTTCAAAGAAAGTTGGTTAATGTTAAAGTTATTGGTGCATTTCCAAGCCGTTTCCTTAAATTGTGTGCTTTTATGGAGATTCGAGGAGTGAAGGTCATTTAACTTTCAATCAAATTTGTTATTGAAATATTGTAAAGAATTAAAGGGGAATAGCTGTTTTTTCTTTAGTCCAAGATCCACTGTAAATATACTTTTATATTTGTTCTCCATTCATTGTCTATGGCCACCAAAACTTGAACTTTATAATCACCGGTCGGCAGCGGTACAAATTGGAAATCTTTTGTTGTAGCTACCATATCTTTCACAATTATAGGATGCTGAAATATATTATGCCATATAAGTATACATATATAAATATAATTATGCTAATCTTTACTCACCTCAAAAGGACACGAGTGATTTAAGTTCGAATATATGGCTAAAAGATCATTGATGATCCTTGTAAAAGACAATTTATTATTGCCCTTGGCCATGAACTTGCAATAATCATAAGTGTGGTTGAACATAAAAGGACGATATCCATTAAATTTCCGATGCAGACTGAGATTTACCTATAATTCCAATTATACATATAAAAAGAAATAAATATAATTTACGAATAACTTTAAATACCTTACAATTATTGAAGCCTCCTTTTAAGAATGTCGCATGCACATTTAAGCCCACAAGGTCACGAGCTATCATTTTTAAATAACAATGCTTATAAACTACATAGGCTGGATCCAACACGTCGCACTCTATATTCAAATAGCGTGTCTGCAATCCTGATAGGCATCCGTTGACCAGGAGGAAGAGCGTAAAAAGAACCCACATTGTCTTTCAACTACCGATTGTGTAACTAACCACTAAGCAGAGACACTGTTAAATTTAAAAAAAGTGTTTGTAAATATATTAATTGGCCGATATTTAAACCTTATTATTATAACGCAACCAATTAATCTACTCAGTGAGTCGCGAAAGGTCCATGTTAATAGGTGAGCTGAAAGCTAACGGACAATGGTTGCAATAACTAGTAAAAATGCTGTAGTCGAGTGAGCTCGACTACGATACACCCTGAATCCAGGGAAGGTATCATTTTAACTGCCTTTATTTGTGCATTTTTGTTTTCTCATCTTAAAGTGCCTATCCAAAATGTAATACCTTTGTATAGGACACTCATCGTTTTCAGTGATAGGGGCAATTTAATCAATACATATTTACGCAAAAGTACAAAATGTTGGTCCTTTCCTTGGTATGGAGTTGGTTTTACTGCTCGCATTTTCAGCGAAAATACAAAACTAAATGAAATTGATGAATGCTCAAGTGACAAGAGGCAGTTCCAGTTCCAGTTTCCGGTTGGCTTTGTCGAGCTAACAAATGATTTGGGTGCTAGGCCCCCCATAAGACGTAAATTCAACTCAATCTCAATCAATTTGGAGGCCAAGAGCAGAGCTGAATACCCAAGAGATTACGCTTGAGCTTGTCTTTCATAACTTGGCGCAATTACAGTGCCCCTAATACTATACTCGCTCTGTGACCTTAAAAGCAGCCCCATTGATTTGTCAATGGGTCCACGGTTACCAGGTTTCCCCGCGCCCCGTTTCCTTGTCATAAATCAATCCATGCGAAATTTTAGCCAAAGCATTAAAAGCATTACAAAAAGCGCAATTTTTTTTTTGTCGTGTGAGCCGCGTACGCTGTCATGTCTTTGTCATGTTGAACAAAAGCAGTTGCCAGCGGCAATGGAGGCAGCGACCATGTTACGTATACGCCCCCGTAGGCACGCATGCAAAGGACATCATCGCAAATGAATGGATTGGCAAACCCAAGGCAATCTATTGTCTGCTTATGTGCGTGAATGTGTATGTGTATGTGTGTGTGAGTGTGTGTGTGTGTGTGTGTGTGTGTGTGTGTGTGTGTGTATGTGTATGTGTATATGCATGTGTCGTTGTCTTGCTTAGCACAGTTTCGATGGTGTTTTTGTGAACTTTGCATGCTAAACATTTGGCTGGCAGTTGATTGTTTTCCATATAAGCAGCAACGCCTGCAAAATCCTTACACATGCCAACTTTCTAAATATATTTATCTTGCTCATTTATATGCATTCACCCAACGGCCATATCAAATATGTGTAGCTTATATGTATATCAGTATATATAGTATATATATATATATATATAGTCATGTGTCCTGCAGCGCACCAAATATGTGGACTAAGCAATTGTCGGACGCTTAAGTTGTTGTTTGTGGCTCTTTAAGCCATGCTCTTAAGTTTGTCATGTCATTGATATTGGGTTCCACATGTGGCATGCAACATGTACCACATGCAGCCGAGCAGCAACCACAGACCAGAAACCAGCTTCATTTCGGTTTCGTTCAGCAAACTAGTTTGTCATCTCTCCGTTGAGATGCAATAGAGATACGAGAATAAAGCAATCAGAATTTTCTCCGTCTTCATTTTTCCTTTTGCTGAATTTGCCAAAGTTCATTGCCATGAGGTTAGTACAGCAAGAATATGGATACCAGCTTGTCGGCCAGCAATGAAAGTGAAGATGCAAAATAGTCGAAAAACAGGTCTCGATTCTGGACATAGTTGGCATAATTCCTCGGCAAACCATATCAAAAATAACTTTGCCAAGCTCAAATAAAGTGTAATGGTGCGAAATAAATGAAATACTCGACCAGGAGGCAAAAAAGTTGTGTGGCACACACATTCCACAAAATGATGTTACATATATATAAAAAAGCATTGATATATGGCGTGAAATAGTTATTGCAATTGCCAAAGTGCACGAGGGAAATAAAACATTGAAGCATTGACATTTTGAAATGCTTTCAATGCACATGAGCGAACATGAATTACACATTTACACAGCTAACAAAACGAGACATCGAATGCCACTGCTACATTCAGGGGATTTGTGAATATAGACAGCGGAAAATAATAATACAAATATACATAAAAGTGTATAAGCTTGTCGACACTAAAGCGTAAAACATTAACTCAAATTTCAATTCTTGTGCACATCAAATGCCCACCTTAACGCAAATACATAAATATTTAATATTTTACTAAACTTAGCATAAATATTTTGTGCGATAAGCAGATTATTATTTGATTGATAAATTAGTTTTGAAAATATAATAGAACTGTATGGGAATATTTCTGATTCATGTTTCATAAATAAAATGTATATATCTCACTGGATTTTTAAAATGCTTTTCACCTCCAGAGCTGGATGTGAACATTAACCGCATCATTACGTTTGCATTCATTTCACAACGTGACATTTCAATTGGCCCAAGTCGGGTCGAAAGTGCGCGCGAGGACTACATAAATCCGTAGCGGATGCCCGCTAACCACTCCCCTAAGTACAATGGTACACATATCCATACACACACACACACACACACCGTAACACCCACAAGCACACATGCTTGTAAGTCAGCGAAATGCACGGGGCACGTACAACAAAAACTCCGCCGTAAATGTTGGCAAACTAGCGATGAGGGCAACGCTAAAAAGTGTAAGAAAATCAGCAACTAAATGCCTGGCAGGTTGAGTGGCTTTGTGGTGTTTGGGGTTGTTGGGGTGGTTGGCATCTTGCACATTTTGATACTAAAAGCCACACACGCACACTAAGTCGCGCACTCACACACACAATAAGACGTCGTCTTTATCACCGCCATTGTTGTTAATTTTGCAAGGCTGGCTGGCAGCTTTGCGCCGGAAACGGAAACTAGCGGCACTTGGCTGGTGAGGCAACGTCGCGGCTAATGTGTCGGCTTGTGCATGTGTGTTTGCGTCTGCAATTGTGTTTGTGTGTGTGTGTGTATGTGTGCGTGCGACATTTACAGTTGAATTATGAGCGCACATAAATAAAATGTCGTTTGGAATGGCAACGACAAAATGGCTGCTAAAATTTCCGTTGCTCAGAGCACGGGAAATTACCTGAACTGCGTCGTTGACACGAAATTGAGCCCGCAAACTGTCAAGACGCACATTGACATAAGACTTCTTTATATGACCCCCACAAAAAAAAAAAAAAATAAAATAAAATAAACAAAAAAAAATAAAATTAAATAACAGTTAAGAGCCACAAACTCAATCATTCTCTAAGCCGTTTAAAGCTGTCAAAGTCAGACAGAAACGTAACCTAAAATGGCTTTTCCACTTTAGCTTTCTGCACAAAATGTTACATCTATCTACTACATATAAAATATTCACATTTGTTTGTCAGTTTTTAAGTGTTTCGCCATCTGATGATGTATTCAATTTGGTTTTTAATCCCTTTTTGGGGAAGGCTCAGGTTATACAATATTTATACGCACTCATGACGTGCATATTTAAAATAGCTCGCTGTGAGACCTTTTTGAATTGATTTTTGGCAAAATTGTTTCGATTTGAATAAAAAATACACATCCAAATAGCAAGCGAGAAAAACCTGCAGACAGACAATTGGAAAGTCACTGCTAAAACATGCATGCGGAAATTTAAAGCAATTGACACAAAGGCTATCTTAGAGCTATTTACATTGCAATTCGGTAACTCGTAGCTTAACATCTGACCTGCCATGTAATACAAATGTTTGAGTCTGCTGCGGCAACTGGGACAGCAGAGGCAACCCCAGATACCAGTCGTAGTTTAAGATGCGGGGTCAGTAGCAGCAGAACCAAATGCAGAAGCAATTGGAGCGACAGCCAACTGCAATATTTATTTATTTGTTTCTTGCTTTGCTATTTTCAATTTACGCTTACAATAATTCAGCAAACGTGGAAACGGACAGCTATAAATTTGAGCGGGTAAACACGCAAGCAAACAAAACCAAAATGAAAACCAAAACGACAACAAGAACATACTGTATCCCATAGAGAGAGAGAGAGAGAGAGAGAGAGAGAGAGAGAGAGAGAGATAGAGAGAGCGACCGATTTATATGGGAAGAAACGATTTACTTTCACGACGTATAAATACGAATTCGTATGATACAAAAAAGAACATTAAAAAATGTACGCAGAATGACGAAGATTAAATGCACTTTAAGTTAATATATTTAAGGAATTGATGCTTTGGTAAAAATCATATTTAATAAAGTTGTGAATATAAACTAAAATTATTTTCTAAAATATACTTAATTTGTAAATAATATTTAATTTACAAATGATTCGCTGAATGCGTTACAAATATCATACCAATATCAAAATGCCGACAATAGGGAAATAAATCCACAATGTATAAAATGTAAACTTTTTATTTCTGTGCTGCACACAGAGTGAGGGCAATTTATGTTATGCCATTTTCAACTTGAAAACATAAAATATGCTGTGAAGTGAAGAAGGAGGTGAAGGGGTGCTTCCGTTTGGGGTCAGTGTAAAACAAATGCCGACAAGTGCAATTAAGTTTAAAAGGTGGCCGGAGGAGTGAAGTGTGACTAACTGGTTGTAATGCCAGCAAATGGCGATGTGAGTGCGGTCAGTTTGCTTCAGCTCGTTGCCAACTGGCATCTGAAACCCATCCGAATGTAGCTTGTTGGGTATGTGTGGATGTGTGTGAATGGTAATGGGTATGGGTGTGGCAATGGGAGGGCATTGCAGATAGGATCGATTCAAGCATGAGTCACGCGACAATTTCCAACTGGCGAATATTCAATTTACTCGTTTTTAACGCTGACTATTGTCATTTTTTATTGTTGCGGTGAATCAACTAAAAGTTATTTAAGCCAATGAGTGCTAACTAATTAATACATATATCGATTTTTTTTAAAATGTACTATTCAATTTAAAAATAATGGAGTTACATATAAAGTCATTTCTGCATCATTAAATTCCCATTTGAA